CTTGGAAAATTCCAGAAAATAATGTCATGGTTTTAGAAGCTTCTGATAGGCTAATTGACATAATTTGAGTCAATTGGAGGTGTACCTGTGGATGTATTCCAAGGCCTACCTTCAAACTCAGTGCCTCTTTGCTTGACATCATGGGGAAATCTAAAGAAATCAGCCAAGACCTCCACAAGTCTGGTTCATCCTTGGGAGCAATTTCCAAACACCTGAAGGTACCACGTTCATCTGGACAAACAATAGTACGCAAGTATAAGCAGCCGTCATACCGCTCTAGAAGGAGATGCGTTCTGTCTCCTAGAGATGAACGTACTTTTGTATGAAAAGTGCAAATCAATCAATCAATTTTTGGAGAAATGTCCTCTGGTCTGATGAAACAAAAATAGAACTGTTTGACCATAATGACCATCGTTATGTTTGGAGGAAAAAGGGGGTTGCTTGCAAGCCGAAGAACACCATCCCAACCGTGAAGCACGGGGTGGCAGCATCATTCTGTGGGGGTGCTTTGCTGCAGGAGGGACTGGTGCACTTCACAAAATAGATGGCATCATGAGGAAGGAAAATGATGTGGATATATTGAAGCAACATCTCAAGATATCAGTCAGGAAGTTAAAGCTTGGTCAAAAATGGGTCTTCCAAATGGACAATGACCCCATGCATACTTCCAAAGTTGTGGCAAAATGGCTTAAGGACAACAAAGTCAAGGTATTGGAGTGGCCATCACAAAGCCATGACCTCAATCCTATAGAACATTTGTGGGCAGAACTGAAAAACCATGTGCAAGCAAGGAGGCCTACAAACCTGACTCAGTTACACCAGCTCTGTCAGGAGGAATGGGCCAAAATTCACCCAACTTACTGTGGGAAGCTTGTGGAAGGCTACCCGAAACGTTTGACCCAAGTTAAACAATTTAAAGGCAATGCTACCAAATACTAATTGAGTTTATGTAAACTTCTGACCCACTAGGAATGTGATGAAATAAATCATTCTCTCTACTATTATTCTATTATTCTGACATTTCACATTCTTAAAATAAAGTGGTGATCCTAACTGACCTAAGACAGGAAATTCTTACTCAGATTAAATGTCAGGAATTGTGAAAAACTGAGTTGAAATGTATTTGGCTAAGGTGTATGTAAACTTCCGACTTCAACTGTATGTAAATATGATATATATATAATTTTTTTTATATACATTTGCAAACATTTCAAAAAAACGGTTTTTGCTTTGTCATTATGGGGCATTGTGTGTTGATTGATAAGAAAAAAATACTATTTAATCAATTTTAGAATAAGGCTGTAACGCAACAAATTGTGGAAAAAGTCAAGAGGTCTGAATACTTTCCAAATACACTGTATATGAATATAACATAGAGTTTCTGGTCATTTATCGTTATTCCATAAACCAATAATACTAGATTTCATCATGTTTTCAGATTCAGGGCTTTTCTGAAATATCCTTATACAGCCTTGTGCAGTCTACTAAGAGGACATCAAAGATTTTGAGTGGAATGGAGAGCCATCTACTGGAGGAGAGGTGAATGAACTGAGGAACGCAATGCCATGTGTTGCCATTCTTTATAAAGGCATTTCCTGGTTTGACTGCAGCAGAGGCTGAGCTGTAACAGTATAGAATCCTGCACATGAGGCTGCCAGCTTTCCAGTCCATTCTCCTGGGCGCAGAAAGCCTCATGGTTGACTGAAATGCTCCATGGGCCTTGACCCATATTGTCTAGACCCATTTTGTCTAGTCCCTAAGGTCCAAAAAGCGCCACATTCTAAAACAGGAAGCTGATATCTTTTAAAGGTGCTCTTCTGCAGCAGGCAGGCATTCCATTCCTGGACACTTGGCTGGGTTGAATGTGGAAACAGAGCGGCCTGGACAAATGTAGATCGTTCTGGGGCAGGAGTAGAGCGGGGAATAGGAAGTGGTATTTGGAGGCCCATAAATCATGTGGTGGTCCCCAGGATGGAGTTGTCTGTGTGTGGACAGACCTGACCTGCCTGGTCCCTTCTGACTGCAGCCTGCAGCTCAGCAGCCAGATTTGGGCCTGCCATCAGACAGGGGAGCCTCTGTCTCTGTATAGGGCCTGGTGTGGGGGGGATTTCCCCAGGTACCATCCACCAGGCCCTTCCACTGAGCCACCCCCATACCCACTACTTCTCCCTCTAATACTATGAGCTAGTGCCACTGAGCTAAAATATGAGCCTGTCCTGTAATTGTGTGCCTGCTCGAAGGCCTGAGCTACTCATTGACTGTGGTGATTTCTTTGGTTGTCTACATTTAAAACGGTGCACTTTGAAAGCCTGAGTGCTGAGCTCTTGCTTTCCTTCTCTGGCAGGCACAATGGCTTTTCCATGCCTGCAATTCATTTAGCAAGTTAGCGTTAGCCAGCGAGCGCCAGCCCAACGAGCCATCCACCCGCCACACAAGATGGCTGATGGAAGTCAGCCATACTGGATTTGTTAGTGAATGGGCTTGAATTGAAGTATCACTCAATCCGTCTCTCTGAAAAGCCTGCCGGATTTCTACTCCTCATTCATTTTTCATCTCAGACATGAGATGGGTGTAAAATTCCATACATTTTCCAGCTGCACAACTTCATTAATGTCAAAATAACAAGGGCAACCTGGAACTATTTAGACAGCAGCACAGCAGTTTCAGCGTTGCACACCTTCTAATGACCCAGCTAGGAAATATGGATCATATCTTACAGATAAAATCTGATCTATAGTTACATTGACTGACCATAATCTTTCTCTGAAAAACATACATAGCACAAAGGGCTAAATGGAGACAACACCCCATGAAATCAGCATGAAAGACTGCCCGAACGCTCTTTGTCTGCGTGCGTGTGTGTGTGTGAACTCCCGTGACAGCCATAACATGTGAAATCTTAGCTGAAGAGTGTGATAAAGGAGCCAGTCTAGCTAACGCTTTGAACACACCGACTGCATCATTGTGCAAAATAGTGTGCAGCATCATCTAGATATGTGTGCAACAAAAGTTCAACACTCACCATCTGCTACCATTTCTGTCAACCCGTTTACGCATACAGTTTGATGCATACGTTCGATAAATCCAACGTATGCACCACACAGAACGCACTGCAACTGCCTCTGCAACGCAATGCTGCAAGGCAAACACAGCGTTCCTTTGGAAATGAATGTACCTCTGGTGTATGCAATAACGCAGTCGGTGTGTTCGAAGCGTAAATCTCCATGGCATGATCCTTCTGCATGATCAACTCAGGCAATACGATCATCTGGATGGCATTGGATTAATGCCTGGCAGCCAAGCATTGTTAACCTATTAACGGAGGGAATCAGATGGCCCAGACCTCCATCTACAGAGACGGAATCATAACTGACACTGATCCTCCCTGAGAAACGCCTTCTGATCAGTGTTGCCAACTAATTTTCAGGGGAAGTTGCTAGAGGCAGGTTGATTTGTTGCTAAAAGTTGCTAAATGACGTTGTGATGCATGATGACGTCATTACGTAATAACGTAAAACTGCGTCATTACGTAGAATACACAATAACGTTACTCAAATTGACTGGCCATCTCAGCCATTTGTTTGTTTATTATCACATATATTTTTTTGTAAAAGTAATATAAACACAACACATTTTATATGATCAGATATATTTATTTTTAAACACAACACATTGAATTATTGATCAATTACATTTTATTTATTTTCTTATTATCTAGTAAACCTACACATTCTGAACATTTATCGTTTTAAGCAGTGTATTGGTAGTTAGTTAACATGCTACCTAACTGATCAACAATTATAGGTACAAGCTAATTACAAGGTATATATGCTATCTTATTGAACAAGCAACTTAACTCAAATAATGATGTGTGTGCTAGGCATCTTTCTCCCGCTCTCTCTAGGTTGTTGTACTGCTTGGCTGGCCTGCTGCTGCCTGTGCACGAGCTGAGCGCCTGCTGCTGACATCACTCACAATGCACTTTTGCAGCCAGGCACGTGTGTTGTGACTGAGTGTGTGACAGAGAAAATAGTTTTTGTGTCATTTAGAGGGAAAATGCTTGCATTTAAGCGTTTGAGTCACTTTTCAAAAGTTGATAAAAGTTCCAAAAAACATTTTAAAAGTAGCTAAATTTGTTGCTAGGTGCTGTTTGAAAATAAAGTTGCCAGGGTAGTCTGAAAAGTTGCTAAATCTAGCAACAAAATTGCTAAATTGGCATCACTGCTTCTGATCATATCCAGCTCCACAACCTGGATCTTATCAATTTGTCAAGCTTCCTGCAGTCCACAGCAGCAAATGAGAGCAGAGGGAATGATGGCGCTCATGCTTTGCTTTACTACACTGACCCTACAGTGATGCTTATTATGACTTGAGATTATGAATATTACCCAACCTCTGCTTTGTGCATGAGACGGCTTGTCGGATGTTTTGCGTTGAAATGTTCATGTAGTGTTTCCCCTATGTGCCTTTAGCAGCAGGGCACCGCTAGATCGTGGCCACCACTGCAAAAAAAATATATATAATGTAGATATATAGATGTATGCCCCAGAAAGACCCCATCTCGCTTGCCTCTGAGCCAAATGGCAGCAATTCAATACAATGCACTATTTTCTGCTGAAGGGAGGTCATTGCAGGTTACTGTTATGCATTGTAATTTTGATTCAGTATAATCAATCTAATGTACACTAGTATCCAATAATTTTGTCAAATATGTGCATATAATATCCCTCCAGACCTCTCTCTGACTCCAATCTACTCTGACTCATAATGCTACAGCGTTGAGGGCTGTTCTGTCCCTTAAAAATTGTTTTATGATAATTGATCATGAAGTATGAAGTCTGAGGCTTGTTGACTCATTTGCATATGTATAGATCTACAATCATTTATATTTCATCTGGCAGGCGTGTTCTGGCCCGGGGCAAAGCAGCTGTCTCCTCCTGTTTGTTCAAACACTCCACTTAGAAGGAGATGCTATAGAGATGGAACATGGCTGATCATTGTCAGAGGTTGTTGAAGCTGTGTAGCTCCATATTGGGCTGATGGTGATGATCATTGAGGGGGGCTGTGACTGTGGATATCTGGAAAAGACCAAGCATCTATATGTTAGAGAAGGAAGCACCACAGGGATTCAATATTGAGGGGAGTAAACTGCAATTTTCAGAGCAGTGAGCAGATCAATGGCTCTACCCAGTCTAGTGTATTGTATTTCCACAGCTTTGTTCCAACCAAAGAATCTATACAGCTACCCAGGGTGGATCAACATGTGGAAATGGCCAAAAACCATTCAGATACGGAGGTTAAAGAAGTAGCTGAGACAAAGAGTAGATGAAAGTGTTTTGTTCAAAAAGACAGTTAAGGAGATATCATTTGATGCATGGCAAGGTATGTTCACTCATCCAACACCTGAGCTCAAAGGATAAAAACACAAAGTACAAAACTGTGATTGATTTAGTCCATGAAAACATGATGGTTTACGTAGCTAGCAATTTTCAGGGAAGGAAGACAGTGAAAATGTTCCATGCTACGGCAGTTTAATCACAAGCAAGGCCACATCATCTCCCAATATGTGGACTCTGAGGAGAGGAGAAACGTGTCGCAGATGGTTTCCACATCACACCGTTGGTCTTCCTCAGGCAGTTGAGAGAGCAGCCACTGAGACCAGCAGACACTAAACTAGCTCTTCCTGCTCCGCCTGGAGTTGTCCTAGGTGAGCTGAGGCTAAGGACACGTGCTGTGGGAAAACGTGTAAATGGAACACAGTCCAAAAGAAGAGAACACGCCTACATGAAACAGGACTTCAAAAATCTCAACTGAAACATGACCACAAAATGAGGCCACAAAACACAACGCACGATCAAACAGAAGCAAAGCATGACAATGTTTTATTCTGCCCTAACACCCCAAGCCAGCAGTAAGGATGCTTGACTGCAGCAAGACTACACAAAATAACTTCAGAAGTCTATCCACAGCCTTTTGGGCTGTAAAAATTGGGTTATCGCCTTTTTTTCGTGACCAGAATCTGGTCTTGTGGATGTTACATTGCTTAGCAGGGCTTACATGTGAGATATACATTACGCTTCTTCTCGGATCCCATTATCTCCAACATAAATCTTTACACACCTGTCTCATATACCTGATGTTGTCTCTACCTTAGCCAAAAATAATTGAACTACTGATACAATGGCCAGTCGCCTAGTCTTGCTGTGTCCTGTTTTAAACATGTGCTACTTACTGTCTGTTAGAGTTTCTGAGTTGCTCTGACTCATGCCTGCTTGTCATTTCCCTCCATGCTTAGACTTGATTTCCATTCACATAATGGCCAAGATGCCATACTACAGAATACCAGAGAAACTACAGGGATGCAGAAGTAATGAGGAGAGGCATTTCCACACATCTGATGTAGAGCCTACAGCTCAGACTGCTATTCTGATTAGTGGAGTGTTGGCTTCTCCTCGTGGGCGTAAAGAGATACAGTGGAAAGGAGATTCCATGTCTCCTATACAAATCTATTATCCTGTTCTAATGAGCCAAGGCTTGTTTGGAGTCCCGGCTAGTGGAGATTGACCACATGCCAGCACTTTCAGCAGCTTGTCATAATAGCTCAACACTTTTTCACTCAAGTGTCTTAGATTTGTTGCTTTGCTGGCAATTTGTTGTAGCGTATCATGAATACATGTGCTGTATCGAAATGCATCCAAAGCATTTGCTGGAAGCTTTGTACCATAAACTGTATGTTGCATTAATTATTAAGTCTCTGTGAAGTGCATGTGTCAGTGTTGTAGTACGTCACAGCTGTCTCGGTCTCGAGTCCTGTCTTGAGTCCACATATTGAGTGTCTCGGTCTTGGATACATTTGTACTCTGTCTTGACTCGGTCTCGGACAGTGAGGACTTGTAATTTCTTCTGAGACCAGCAGAGTACAAATCTCATAATTATCAGCTTCTATTCAGTCAGCGCATAAAACCGCTTCGCCAGGCTAAATATATACACTCCTTTCTTGAAACATGAATATCTTAACAGCCTTTATATCTATTATAGACATGTTTGCGCAGTGGCGAACCTATAGACCTTCATTATGTGACAGGTTCGTGATTCTGAAAGGACAGCAACGGTAATACCAGCGCACTCATGTAGGAGAGTGCACTTCTTGTAAAATACAAAGTGCCAGTGGTGTAGTGGAGGGTATACGCAGGTATAAGCCTTATACCCACTTATTTTAAGTGGGCATTGCTTATACTCACTTCTTAATCCCTACTGATGCATATCAAAGTAGTGAAGGTATACTATTTATCAATTGGTAATACAATAGAGAAATCATGCACAAAGTAGAATATACAATCGCAAAGCACGTGAAATATATTCACATGCACGCCGCACAAATTTCAGCGGAATATCATCCCCAGACAGCACACATACATCTCGCAGACGTCGGCCCGATGTATACTTGATACATCGCGCCGATGTAGTATGGCGAGCCATTTGCACTTTGGCAAGATGTCACCGAAACGTCGGCATTAGATCGCATTCGCCCCTCAGCCGCTGTTTGGCCAATGCATGTCAAAGTTGCATGCTGCCTAGCCACTCTACAGACGACATTAAAAATAACATTATTTGAGGTCGATCCAACAGTAAATAATGTTTCACTACACAATTCAAATTACCCTTACCAAATGAGTGTAAAAATCGAATTTGAATGGAAAATATAAGTAAGATTATCTAAATTATACTGGCAATAATAAAAAAAACTGGTGATTTTGTTTGTGGGTAAAATGAAGAGAAGATTCAAGTTAATGTCAAGTTTATTAGGCTATTGCTATACCATCAAGTTCTTAAAAGAACTCCAGCACAAAGAGAGAAACAAGGCACAGAGAAACAGAAACATCACATTTAACAAAAAGATAGCTTATGCAGAGGGTGTGCAGTTGGTTCGATAAAGATGGAATCATGGTTTTATTATAGGCTAAGAGCAGTGAATATGTGATTAATATATTTACAAAAAAAGCTAACGTTTGAGTCCAAGAACGCAGTAGACAATAGACAAAAAGGATGTAATGTCCAAATAAAGAGCAATATACCAAATTATGTCATTGGTGTAGAGAGGAGTAGGCGTAGATGTAGAGCATACCAGGAAAGCATCCGGCAGTCTGGGGAGGTCAATCACCATAACTTCACTCTCCAGGACGACAGAGATCTTGACCGGATTGTAGTGGACTGGATTTTCTGTGTTGTCAACAACGATTGTCAGCAGGGCTACCGGTGAGTCACCAAGCTCTGGGTTGTCTGAATCCTCCACCTGAAATACACAATGCACTTCAGATGAGAATACTAGACAGACTTGTTATGTAGCAATATATCTACGCTGACCTATGGTTGGCTAGATAGACCATACTCATCCATCTAATCCTCTCAGATCACCTCAGGAGCCAGGGTGTGTTGATTGGGAATGGGCACAATAATAAAAAATAACCAGAATGACAGGAAAACTACCTTGCATGTTTTGAAAAATCCGGAGTCTTCCTCGGGCAGCAACACAGGAAGAGTACAGAGAACAGTTGTATGCATTTACATTTACCATTTAGCAGACGCTCTTATCCAGAGCGACTTACAGTTAGTGAGTGCATACATAATTTTTTTTTCTTTTCATACTGGCCCCCCGTGGGAATTGCTCTACCAACTGAGCTACATCCCTGCTGGCCATTCCCTCCCCTACCCTCGACGACGCTTGGCAAATTGTGCGCCGCCCCATGGGTCTCCCGGTCGCGGCCGGCTATGACAGAGCCTGGATTCGAACCAGGATCTCTAGTGGCACAGCTAGCACTGCGATGCAGTGCCTTAGACCACTGCGGCACTCGGGAGATACATGCCTTGTGTGGGCATCATGTAGTTCCTAAAGGGATACATAAATGTCAATTTTATGACATTGGCTTACTAATCTAAGCTGGTACCAGAGAAATATTTGAATATTTAGCCTTAAATCACTTGTGACATGTGCTGAGCTTGGTTTAATTAGGAACGTGGTATAATGGAACAGTTCCAAAAGGACATACTTTCAGGTGCCTTTTAAATACCTATTAAGCCTAGTCCTGGACTAAAAAGCAAGCTCAATGGAGAATATCCATAGAAAATTATTTTAGTCCAGGACTAGGCTTAATCTGTGTCTGAGAAATCTCCCCACAAGGTTTAATACGTAGTTGATATTTGCATTAGACCAAGATCTTTTTCCAGTGCAATTGTAGTGGACTAATGATCGGAGTGCTCGGTCTTACCTGTAGATCATGACACCTCAGAATGTCAACCAAAGCGTCAGCAGTCCTTCCAGTCTTTGATACCCTCTGTCTATACAAGGTAATCAACTGAGGGGTGTGACAGTCAATCTCAGCATAGAAGATGTTTGGCAGGTTCTGGTTTGTAATTAGCTGAAAATCTGCATACACCTACATTTGGAATAGACAGACAACAAAGGACAGTATTTAGAAGTTATCACAAGTTTGGAACACAGTTTCACAATTTAATTCAGTATAACTAATATATTAAAGCAGGTAGAAAATGTGGGTAAAACAGCATTGCAATTTTACCTGAGATGCCATGCGCAGAGATCAAGGAACTCCTTTACAGGTTGAGTGTCGGTGAATATTCCCTGGCGCTGCAGGGGGAATGTGGTCTGCGTCTTTCCTATCGATCACGGGTAAGTTCCTTTCCATCTTTTGAACTTCTTGGACCATTTCCTGCCTCAGTGTTTCAAGACTCCCCGAGTCCTCTCCCAGGGGGAAGTTTGCAGAAAGTTAACTTCAGCCCGCTTAGGTCTCTGTTTGAGTGCGGTGGTTAATTCTCTGGATTGCTTCTGCTTGTTTTTGCTGCATTTACAGAGACCTCCTGACATCCTGCTATCCTCAACTTGGTTCTGTAGTTATCCATCTTGAATTTGATGCTGTTCTTCCATCCATTCCACCCAGTGTCAGATCCTGCATCTTTCAGACAGGGGTGTTTCGTAACAACAGCATCAGCTGCCTTTCCTATCTCGCGGTCATTTGGGTAAGCCTTGAAACTGCACATAGTAATAGCAACTTTCTCTATGATGTCATATTTTGTCTCTAGACAACTGAAGATATTTTCCATTCCTTTCAAAGGCAGCATTTCCTTCTCTAAGCTTCAACTCTACCTCTAATGCAAAAGTAGGCACAGAAAAAATGTCTGGTGGCCACCTACTGAGGTGCTCTGGGGAAGAAACATCGGAAAGTATTTCTGTGTCAGCTGTAGAACTTGTATCTCCTCCTTCCACTAAAAGGTGCAGTGTTGCCTTTTGTGGCAACTCCTCAATGTCCATCAAACAGGTAAGTTGTCCATCAAAATTAGAAGGATTACTTTATCCTATCCCAGGTATTCCTTAAAGAGGTGGGGTTTCAAATGTCTCCGGAAGGTGGTGAGTGACTCCGCTGTCCTGGCATCGTGAGGGAGCTTGTTCCACCATTGGGGTGCCAGAGCAGCGAACAGTTTTGACTGGGCTGAGCGGGAACTATGATTCCGCAGAGGTAGGGGAGCCAGCAGGCCAGAGGTGGATGAACGCAATGCCCTCGTTTGGGTGTAGGGACTGATCAGAGCCTGAAGGTACGGAGGTGCCGTTACCCTCACAGCTCCGTAGGCAAGCCCCATGGTCTTGTAGCAGATGCAAGCTTCAACTGGAAGCCAGTGGAGTGTGCGGAGGAGCGGGGTGACGTGAGAGAACTTGGGAAGGTTGAACACCAGACGGGCTGCGGCATTCTGGATGAGTTGTAGGGGTTTAATGGCACAGGCAGGGAGCCCAGCCAACAGCGAGTTGCAGTAATCCAGATGGGAGATGACAAGTGCCTGGATTAGGACCTGTGCCGCTTCCTGTGTAAGGCAGGGTCGTACTCTCCGAATGTTGTAGAGCATGAACCTACAGGATCGGGTCACCGCCTTGATGTTAGCGGAGAACGACAGGGTGTTGTCCAGGGTCACGCCAAGGCTCTTCGCACTCTGGGAGGAGGACACAACAGAGTTGTCAACCGTGATGGCGAGATCATGGAACGGGCAGTCCTTCCCCGGGAGGAAGAGCAGCTCCATCTTGCCGAGATTCAGCTTGAGGTGGTGATCCGTCATCCATACTGATATGTCTGCCAGACATGCAGAGATGCGATTCGCCACCTGGTTATCAGAAGGGGGAAAGGAGAAGATTAGTTGTGTGTCGTCAGCGTAGCAATGATAGGAGAGGCCATGTGAGGATATGACAGAGCCAAGTGACTTGGTGTATAGCGAGAATAGGAGAGGGCCTAGAACTGTGTCCTGGGGGACACCAGTGGTGAGAGCACATGGTGCGGAGACAGCTTCTCGCCACGCCACTTGGTAGGAGCGACCGGTCAGGTAGGACGCAATCCAAGAGTGAGCCGCGCCGGAGATGCCCAGCTCGGAGAGGGTGGAGAGGAGGATCTGATGGTTCACAGTATCAAAGGCAGCAGACAGGTCTAGACGGACAAGAGCAGAGGAGAGAGAGTTAGCTTTAGCAGTGCGGAGAGCCTCTGTGACACAGAGAAGAGCAGTCTCAGTTGAATGACCAGTCTTGAAACCTGACTGGTTTGGATCAAGAAGGTCATTCTGAGAGAGATAGCAAGAGAGTTGGCTAAAGACGGCACGCTCAATAGTTTTGGAGAGAAAAGAAAGAAGGGATACTGGTCTGTAGTTGTTGACATCAGAGGGATCAAGTGTTGGTTTTTTGAGAAGGGGTGCAACTCTCTCTCTCTTGAAGACGGAAGGGACATAGCCAGCGGTCAAGGATGAGTTGATCAGCGAGGTGAGGTAAGGGAGAAGGTCACCGGAGATGGTCTGGAGAAGAGGGGAGGGGATAGGGTCAAGCGGGCAGGTTGTTGGGCGGCCTGCCGTCACAAGTCGCAAGATTTTATCTGGAGAGAGAGGGGAGAAAGAAGTCAAAGCATAGGGTAGGGCAGTGTGAGCAGGACCAGCAGTGTCATTTGACTTAACAAACGAGGATCGGATGTCGTCAACCTTCTTTTCAAAATGGTTGACAAAGTCATCCACAGAGAGGGAGGAGGGGGGGGGGGATTCAGCAGGGAGGAGAATGTGGCAAAGAGCTTCCTAGGGTTAGAGGCGGATGCTTGGAATTTAGAGTGGTAGAAAGTGGCCTTAGCAGCAGAAACAGATGAAGAAAATGTAGAGAGGAGGGAGTGAAAAGATGCCAGGTCTGCAGGGTGTCTAGTTTTCTTCCATTTCCGCTCAGCTGCCCGGAGCTTTGTTCTGTGAGCTCGCAATGAGTCATCAAGCCACAGAGCTGGAGGGGAGGACCGAGCCGGCCGGGAGGATAGGGGACATAGAGAGTCAAAGGATGCAGAAAGGGAGGAGAGGAGGCAGAATCAGGAGATTGGAGGGAGAAGGATTGAGCAGAGGGAAGAGATGATAGGATGGAAGAGGAGAGAGTAGCGGGAGAGAGAGAGCGAAGGTTGCGACGGCGCATTACCATCTGTGTAGGGGCAGAGTGAGTAGTGTTGGAGGAGAGGGAGAGAGAAAAGGATACAAAGTAGTGGTCAGAGACTTGGAGGGGAGTTGCAGTGAGATTAGTAGAAGAACAGCATCTAGTAAAGATGAGGTCAAGCGTATTGCCTGCCTTGTGAGTAGGGGGGGACGGTGAGAGGGTGAGGTCAAAAGAGGAGAGGAGTGGAAAGAAGGAGGCAGAGAGAAATGAGTCAAACGTAGACGTAGGGAGGTTGAAATCCCCCAGAACTGTGAGGGGTGAGCCATCCTCAGGAAAGGAACTCATCAAGGCATCAAGCTCATTGATGAACTCTCCAAGGGAACCTGGAGGGCGATAGATGACAAGGATATTAAGCTTAAATGGGCTAGTGACTGTGACAGCATGGAATTCAAATGAGGAGATAGACAGATGGGTCAGGGGAAAAATTGAGAATGTCCACTTGGGAGAGATGAGGATTCCTGTGCCACCACCCCGCTGACCAGATGCTCTCGGGGTATGCGAGAACACATGGTCAGACGAGGAGAGAGCAGCAGGAGTAGCAGTGTTTTCAGTGCTAATCCATGTTTCCGTCAGCGCCAAGAAGTCGAGGGACTGGAGAGTAGCATAGGCTGGGATGAAGTCTGCCTTGTTGGCAGCAGAACGGCAGTTCCAGAGGCTGCCTGAGACCTGGAACTCCACGTGGGTCGTGCGTGCAGGGACCACCAGGTTAGAGAGGCAGCAGCCACGCGGTGTGAGGCGTTTGTGTAGCCTGTGCGGAGAGGAGAGAACAGGGATAGGCAGAGGCATAGTTGACAGGCTGCAGCAGATGGCTACAATAATGCAGAGGAGATCGGAATAAAATGAACTAAACATCTGGGAAAGGAGAGAGCGGGGCCTCCCTCACCACAACTCCCAAATATAACTCTCCCAACTTCCACCTCAGAAACTATAATTGTTGTAAACTACAGCGGTTCAATGTTTTCTAGGAATAGACTAACCTAGTTTATTCAGCTAGCTAACTAGGTGCAGTATTATTCCGTGAAAAACGTCCGGGCACCTCATCATAAGACGCCACAGCCAGCTAGCATGCCGGTCTCCAACAGCAGGGTTTAGCGCCAATACTCAGCCACAACAACCACAGTGTATCAACACGCAAGCAGATCATTACCAGGGCCGGTTGTTTGTAAACCGGCGACGTCGAACGCCGGAGGAGAGGAGCGGGAGTAGACTTGACAAATGGCTTCATTAAACAAATAATGACTCACCATAACATTTTCAACTCTGTCCCACTCGAATGAACCTCATGGGGGTCAACAGCAGCTGGCCATCAATGTTGTATGCAGAAAAGGTGATAGTGTCGTTGAGCTCAGATTGCAATTGGACAGACAGGCTAACTTTTGTAGATGATAGCTCGTAGGAACAAATATGTTCTACATACCATGACTCAAAGTGACTGCAGAGGCAATACACATTGTTATTCACAAGATATATCTGAGCAATTACAGAAAATTATATTCATAACTTTAGATTTATGTTTCACACCCAAGGCAAATATCAACGACAGAAAATAAGCATGTTATTTCAATAGTACATAACTAATTCAGAATTTGTTTTAACTTTCAAAAATCTCAGTACTGCATTGTAATTAGACAGCATGCCATTGAATGAAGCTTAGGCTGCGCCATTTTGTGCATCTGTCACATTGCACTCAGCAATTGCAGACATGCACCAAATGAGGTAGCTAGCTAGCTACCTCAGCTAGCAAGCTAGACAAGTAGCGTAGCTAGCAAGCAAACATAGTTGCATATAACCAGGAAACATGGCGTAGCTAATAAGCACATTTTACAAAATATGCTTCAGAAAAAAATAATCACATATGACACCAAAATCCTTATGTTTAAGCAACTAGCTAGTTAACGTTATCCATCAACGCTTTTTTACAGCACGTTGGTGAGTTAGCTAACGTGTTTGTCACGTTCATTGAATGACGGGTCAGACCAAGGTGCAGCGTGATATACGTACATGTTTATTTACTGATAAACACCACAACAAAACAACAAACCATGACGTCCAAGGTAGCACACACAACATACCTTACACGGAACAAGATCCCACAACTAGACAGTGCCAATAGGCTGCTTAAGTATGGGCCCCAATCAGAGACAACGAGCGACAGCTGCCTCTGACTGAGAACCACACCGGCCAACATAGAACTAGACATACTAGATCCTCATACATAGAACAAGCACAACAAGGAATATACACACCCTGACTCAACATATAAGCGTCCCCTGAGTCAAAGGCGTGACAGTGTTTGGCGCATTTTATAATTCAGATAGGGATAGAGATCTTGACAATGGATATATTCTCCAAAGAAACGCTACCACACATAATGTTCAAACATTAAAATGTATAGCTACCGTTATCTATTGAAGCAAAGTAATTAACTTACCGCTTGAACCCTCACAAGCGTTGCGAAATACAAGGTGATGTGCTATACGCAATTGGCACTGCCCTTTCTCTCCATTCTTGTGACCATTTGATCTTAACAAACCGTGCCTTGCCTATGTCGATAGAATCAAGCCGATAATGTTGGTTAACATTATATTTGTCAAACATGACTGGTGTTTAACCTAGCCTATATTTTTGTAATTTAAAGTCTAATTAAAGTTTGGCTACATTTCTGGCGCCTCCCTCATGTCAGCATCGCAGTCTCATCACAGTGGAGCTACATTTATACTCATTCAAGTCACGAGTGTGTCCCGCAGTTGAAGGGTTTATTTATCTCATTGTCACTTTCTGGAAGTCACCCTCAGTTTTGTCTGCAACACATGACAACAGAG